TCTTAAAATGGAGTCCAAGATTATTGTATAGTAACTAATCATTCTTTCCTTAAATTTCAGGACTAATTGTACATGAAGGTGCATCAGTTTACAGAGTGTTTAAGCGCTGGAGGGCTGTTAATCTTCACTGGGATGTATTAAATTATGATAAAGCTACAGACATAGAAGAGAGCAATCGAGGAGCGTCTTCACCGGGTAGGACATTGTGGTTACCACTAACTGCATTTAGAAACAGAAATTTAATTCATCCAACACAGCTAACCTCTCCAAGATTTCAGTGTGGCTATGTATTGCTGCATCTGTTCAATCGAATGAGACCTCATGAGGATTCATCAGAAGATAACAGTTCTGGAGAGGTTGTGATGAGAGTGACCTCAGTGTAAAGATAACGCTCGCTGTGCTACATAAATAAGGATAATGTGCCCTGGACTTTACAATACTCCAGAATGTAGTTGCAGTGAATGGTGATACCATAGCACTTCTAAAAATATTTACAACTTTTAAAACATTTAATGCTTTTTATATGATCAGTTGACTTGCAAATACATTTTTCTGAAAAAGTTGTTGCTTGCTTTTTTATAGTCTGGTATATTACATAGTTTGGTCAATTTGTACTTGAAATTTATAAAAATATAATTTAACTCTCATTGCCTTGAATAACAAGGAAACCAATCTTTTAAGCCAAAAATATCTCTCATAGCGTTAAGTGTATTTTTTCAATCTATATAGTTTTTCAAATGCATAAGTTGAGGAAAATAATGACTGGTATCTCTGTGATTTAACTCTAGGTATACGGTAAGTGCGTCATTTAATATATTAACTATATAGCGGTTCAGTCACGTTTCAGAAAGATGATATATAGGGGCTTGTAGAAGATGGACTCACTGTTCACGCGCCCCCTTTGTCTCTGAGCATAGCATAGCAGGCTCTCCTCATCTAGTGTCCTCTGCCACAGCCAGTGCAGCCCTGGAGCAGTCTGTTTCTTCGTGTGATGTAACCTTCTAGCCAGGTGATTTATAGTCCTATTCTTCTGGGGTAAGAAAGCAAGTCCAACAGCCTCATGCTGAGTTTGTGGTCCAAATCCAGACATACTAGTCCTTTTACCCATGACCTCCAGGGTCCTGGCTCTGTTTTTGGAGGGCCTGTAGGGGAATACAGGCTCTCTCTCTCCTTTGGGTTTTAGCCCAGGAACCCTATAGTGAGCATGCAAGATCTGTTTATTCAGATCTTCCCATCCCCTGCTTCCCCCAGGCTTCTTCCTACCTCAACCTATCAGCATGCCTTTTCTACAGCCCCTTCCTGGGCCCACTGTGTACCTGTATTCCAATCAGGCACTACAATGTCTCAGACATCACTGTTTCTTCAGAGTTGTGGCTCACAGGAGTCTTCTCTGGAGTTCTCCAAAAAACCTGAAACCGAAGTATAAACTTAAACTACTTCCACCTTTCCTTGGCTTGAACTTTAGTCCTTCACCAGTGTACCTCACATACTCTGCTCCTCAGCTGAACACAAAACACCCCCTGTGTCTGCCTCCCTGGAATCATAGCTCCTGTGGTGGGTCTCAAAGTGGAGCTAACTCCCTTCCTGTGGATTTTCCCAGTTCTCCTATCTCTTAACTTCTATCAGACCAACCTCAGAGAGAAGGAACTCCCAAACTCCTGTCTTTTGGGTCTCCTTAATATGACTGGGAAAAGGTACTAACATATTTGCAATTGCACAGTGGGTTTTTTGAGGAGTAAACTATATGTCCTATGAAATGTCATTAGTACTCAAAGGGAAGCTAATAGATCAGCCTGCTGAAATGCGATGAATGAATGTGATGCTTTCATCCCGAAAGCACTCACATACTATGATGATGGGCAACTTATAAACATCTGCAGCTTGTAATTCCTCTTCTTTTTACATATGTAAAAGTCACCAAACAATTTTAATGTCATTTGTAATCATTAACTGAATAAGTCATCTAGTCTATCTCCCCCATCCCCTGTGCTGAAGCCTAGACCATCCCTGACAGATATTTGTCTAACCTGTTCTTAAAAACCTCCAAAGACAGGGATTCCACAACCCTACACCATTCAGTTTTCCCAGTTTTGTACATGCCAGTTGAGAGGTATCTAATGGAAAAATCTGAATAAAAAAATGTGTAATGTCTCCTAAAGCACATTTTCAATGGTTCTCTCACAATTTACTAAAAAGTAAACAAAAAATTGTAAAGAAATATTTCTTGGTGAGATTAAACCTTATTCAGTCATATTTGAGTCAACAAGTTAAGAGAGATGAGCAGGTAACACACTATCCTTTTAGATTTTTTTAAAATTCTATTATGCATATAACTCAATATATTAAATTTTCTTTTAAGAATTGACTGACATTGCAATGTTATGGATTTTCCACAAAAGAGCATAAGAGTCCTTATAGGGAGATGGTTCCTTGGTGCCCTTGCGCAAGCTAAGAAAGGGGACTGAAAAACCCCAGAATAGAAATTAAATGGGAGAGAGAGAAGATTCTATTGAACATGATATAGTTTCTGAAATTTGTATATACTTAAAACAAGTTTGTTATGAAATCACATTTAAAAGGCCAACTTTTGTACCGTGAACTGTATTATGGCTATTTTCATTGCATCGCTGAATAAGATATATCCATCATACAACGTTTAAAGCTTGAGTCATCAGGTTTTACACCAATATAATTTATTTGAAACCAATGGAGTTATAGCTGCATAAAACTGGAGAAACACAGTGGTAAATCAGGCCCAATATAATCACAGCTCTGCATTGCACACATGCACAGAGTTTTATTAAAGCATCTAGTGATATATCCCTAGCAAACCCATTCTGTGCTCTAAGGATATATGAAGAACAAGTCTCCATTGCCTCATGCTTCATGTAATAATTTTCACCTGTGCCTAGTGGACCTGAGATACAACCACTGATTTCATTAGAATTACATTGGCGTAAAACTGGAGTGCCATAGTGGTGAAATAAACTCAGTAAATACAAAATTGGTGTTCAAAGGGCATGGTAGCATTTGATAGGTGTAAGTGACTACACCTGTACAGGGCAATGGAGAATCAAATCCATGATCTCCAACCAATATAATAGAAATCTTGTATGCTTCAGGATATACAATATATTCTGCATTCTCCTTTCATAGAATCATAGAATATCAGGGTTGGAAGGGACCCCAGAAGGTCATCTAGTCCAACCCCCTGCTCGAAGCAGGACCAATTCCCAGTTAAATCATCCCAGCCAGGGCTTTGTCAAGCCTGACCTTAAAAACCTCTAAGGAAGGAGATTCTACCACCTCCCTAGGTAACGCATTCCAGTGTTTCACCACCCTCTTAGTGAAAAAGTTTTTCCTAATATCCAATCTAAACCTCCCCCACTGCAACTTGAGACCATTACTCCTCGTTCGGTCATCTGCTACCATTGAGAACAGTCTAGAGCCATCCTCTTTGGAACCCCCTTTCAGGTAGTTGAAAGCAGCTATCAAATCCCCCCTCATTCTTCTCTTCTGCAGGCTAAACAATCTCAGCTCCCTCAGCCTCTCCTCATAACTCATGTGTTCCAGACCCCTAATCATTTTTGTTGCCCTTCGCTGGACTCTCTCCAATTTATCCACATCCTTCTTGAAGTGTGGGGCCCAAAACTGGACACAGTACTCCAGATGAGGCCTCACCAATGTCGAATAGAGGGGAACGATCACGTCCCTCGATCTGCTCACTATGCCCCTACTTATACATCCCAAAATGCCATTGGCCTTCTTGGCAACAAAGGCACACTCATTTCATCTCATTTGAACATCCTCTAGTGATGAAAGGCAAGTTTGGTTTTTAGAATAGGCAAAATGGCCTAGATAAAATAAAAATGTCCCATTGAAACTTATACCAACCCTTTCAGAGGGTCAAACAAAATCTTTGCGGCCTTAAAAACCAATATTCCATGAGGAAAGCTGTTCTTGTATTTTTGGCCTATATATAGGTGATCTTGTGAAAGAGCCTATACTCAGGAGATTTGCAGACCCAAGAAGTTTAGTTATGCTTTCCATACAAGCTTTTCATTTTTCAGGACATACAATATTAAGAGCATGTGATATTCTAAATTCTGTTTAAGTTCTGGGCACCGCATTATCAGAAAACAGAAATAAAAATGATTAGGATGTTGGATGGATTGACTTAGAAGGAAAAATTGAAAACTCAAGCAGCCAAGGCTAAGAAATAACAAGCTAACCATTTACAAATATTTGAATGGTGTAAGCGTAAAAAAAGAATTGGGATTATTTAGGATGGAACAAATGGTACAATTAGGAGTAATGAAAATTACTAGTTAAAGGAAACTTTAAACCCAATGTCATTAAAGTCTGTGCAACAGTGAGATTTGTGATGATGAAACATTTATATAGCACCATTGCTTTACACAACAATTTATACACACATAACGTAAATTCCCTTTCCTGAAGAGTTTCCAGTCAGAGTTTCCTATCTAATTAGAACAAGTAAACTAAATCATAGCACAGGGAAATAAGGCATGGGATAGAGGACCAGAATATTATTGATAAGGGAGGGGAGAGTGCATTAAGAGGTGGGTTATATGGAGGAGAGAGGTTGCTATTGTTATCCCCATTTACAGCGGAGGTACTGAGCTACACAGGGATTAATGGATTTGTCCAGGGTCACATAGGAAGCCTATGGTAGAGCTGGGAGTAGAACCCAGATCCCCTGGATCCCAGTCCTGTGCCTTAACCACAACCAATTTTTCATGCTAGCAAAACAAAACAGCAGTCAGAAGTAAATAATTTCTTAATTTTGTCCAATCTGTTTTAGATGTTCCTCAGACACCTATCACTGTTATATCTAGCCAGCTCACTAGTCTATCATTGATAAAGTAAGTTTTTATTGATATTTATTTAAATTGTTTTTTCATATTTTTATTTTTTCATATTTCACATGAACTTCATGTTCTTCATTGCTCTAAAGTATAAGATGTGAGAACTTTTTCTTTAGCCTTTTAAAAAAAAACACACAATGTTAATGGACATCATAGTGGTAATGTTATGCAAGGCTCCATTCAAGGTCCATTGAAGCCCTGACTGACCGTGCTCTGAGGAGAAAAACATAAATGCGGTAAGCCCTTAGGGAAAACATTGAGTGGTGCTGAATAAGTCATAATTCCTGTTTGAATTATTAGACTGTAGAAGAACAGAGTTCAGTGAAGATGCAGCACCACCACATTTTTATCCAGAAGCTTCTTAGAAGTCATGATGGGCAGTTTATTAGATAATTAATGGTCTATCCTCTGAATCACCTGATACTATGCACTGTTGGAAACAGGACGCTGGACTAGATGGACCAATAGTCTGATCTCTTACGACAATTTTGGTGTTCGCAAGTTATTTAGACAACCTATTGATGGGATCTGGTGGAAGATGACGGAGTGCCCTTTGCAAGGATCCATATGCTTGTACTCTCGTTCAGTCAGAAAGGAATCAGATTCTGCTAATTTAAAAGCATCAGCTTTGCTACTAGCACTACAGAAAATACTTTGCTACTTTCACCAACAGCAGTTAGTGGCAGGAGTTTTTTCAAGAGCTCCTGACACCATAGGACAAGACCACCACAGATCACTGTATTCTGTCAAGCAGTGTAAAGTACATTAGAAGTGCATTTTAAAATTAAATTATGACACGACAGCTATAATATGTGAAATGTGGATTATAGACTCATATGGATTATAGACTCAAAAGAGAGAGGTAGGGGTGAAAGCAGTCAGGAGTCCATTACAAATATCAAAGTAATGGATTTAAGAGCCTATAAAAAGTGAATTTTCACTTACACAGTCTCAGCAGCAACACATATGAAATAGTCTTCCTTTTATAAAATTCCTCCCTAAAGCCAAGAAGGCATCTGACTGAGATCCTTGAGCTGAAATCTAACCCGTACTGAGTCCTGACCTGGATTAAGCTACTAAACAGAGTTTTTTCAAAATTAAAGCAAGCTTTACGGACACTTGGTTCCAGCTCTACTTGGTTTTAGCCAGTCATCCCTTTCTACCTCAATGTATGTTTTCTTTTTCTTTCTTTATGCCATTTTTCCTGGCGAGAGTCACAGTAGCAGCAGGAAGAGTAGGGAGGACCAGGCCTTCTTTTCTTCTGCAACAAGTTCCAGCTCCTCCTCAGGGATTCCCCAGCGTTCCTAGGCCAACTGGGAGAGATAATCCCTTCAGCGTGTCCTGGGTTGGCCCCTGGGCTTCCTCCCAATGGGACATGCCCGGGGGCATCCTTACCAGCTGCCCAAACCACCTCAGCTTGCTCTTCTCGATCCAGAGGAGTAGTGGCTCCATGCCGAGGCTCTCCTGAATAGCCGAGCCCCTCACCCTATATAGGAGAGTAAGCCCAGCCCACCCTGCAGAGAAACCTCATTTCTGCTGTTTGTACCTGTGATCTCATCCTTTCGGTCATTACCCAAAGTTCATGACCACAGGTGAGGATGGGAATACAATTCCCCCCAATGTACTCTCTTTTTTTTAAACTTTTCTTTTTTTGGTCAGGAAAGTATTGGGCTACCACTAACAAACCACCTAAAGCCAACTAATATGTAGGACTTTTCCCACTCTCTAGGGGAAACTGAAGTGCTTCTTTCCTAACACCAGATAATTATAAATTGCACTTAGAAGCCCTTTCTCATGGTCCATATTGGAGACCAGTGGTCTGCAGCAAGCACCGTGGCTTCTCCTGGACTTAGGAAATACATTACCGAAAGATTCCCACAGGCAACAATCCCCAAATTTCTACTCTCTAAAATAAGAACAAATGGAAGAAAAATGAGGCCTGCTCTGTAGTGTATACCCTGCAGTAGGATTTTTCTCCTCTTTTCCTTGTAAATTTACATATAACTCAATTTAACTTTAATACAAGTAACATACGTTGTTAAATTAATCCTTTCACAGATCTGCCTCTTGGATTTCCATATTGTCTATGGTGGCTTGTTTGGATGCATACATCAAATACAGTAACATAATTCCAGCTGCCCTGGGAATAGATAGGAAGCACTTTAGCTGTCATTTGCCAGCCTAATTATGCTCCAGATATATCCATAACAGTTCCATGGATGTCCTGAAATTGCTTGGACTGAGCTTGTGTGGTACCGTTGAATCCCTCATTATTACAGAGGAATCTGTTTCTAGTTCTTCAGCAATTGCTTTATAGCATGGAACTCAGTTGCAACAGGGATCTTCCTATGGAAAGAAAATAATTGATTTGATGTTCACTGCTATTTTATTAATATTTTTTGCATCAGTTTAGTTCTGTCTTTTAAAGTACAATATGTCCTAATATGTTGAATCGGTATGCCATAAATCTAATAACCTTGGGCTGGTTATCAAATTAAACTTTTCCATGTATATCATCATCTTATTTTACCTCACAAACATAGAATAGGAGTAAAGAATTCATCTAACGTATTGTGACGGGGCAAGGCCAGATGGCTATAGGAAAGTAGTGAGAAACAGGTATGTTAGCCCCAGGCTAAACAAATCCCTGTTACCATGGTAATCAAATGGCAGTTGCTCCAGGTTAATCAAAACACCTGGGGCCAATTAAGATCCTTCCAGAAAGCAGTGGAGACAGCTAGGTTGATTGGGACACCTGAAGCCAATCAGGGGCTGGCTGAAACTAGTTAAAAGCGTCCCAGTTAGGTGGGTGTGCGTGTTAGGAGCTGTAGGAGGAAGCTGTGTTGTTGGATAAAATGAGCAGTACAAACCAAAACAGACAGAAGAAAGGAGGCCCTGAGGTAAGGGTGAAGGAGATATTGAGGAAGTGGGGGGCTGCTGTGGGGAAGTGGCCCAGTGAATTATATTCGTCCTGTTTCCAAAAAGCTACCCAGAGCTGCAGCTATCAGGGTCCCTGGGCTGGATCCCAGAGTAGAGGGCGGGCCTGGTCTCCCTCCTCCCCTCCCCAACTAATCACTGAGACTGGGAGATAACAGAGACTGTGCGAGGGAGGATAGCTTCGCCTCACCTCCCTTGTTGGCTTATGATAAAAATGTCTCAGTAGACTGTGACCCTTGCCTCTAGAGAGAAGGGCTACGTGGAGGGTCACAGTGAGCCCCTGAGGCTAGCGTAATCCACCTAGAAGCGTGGGACCCTCGGAACTTTGTCACAATATGTTTTAAGAAATATATTTTAATGCATTAAACTAATGCTTCATAGCATATCTTTAAGAGTCTCTTCACATATCATTAGTGTGTCTGACGCATTCAGCTGTGCTACACCATTCTCTCAGCCTAGAAACACAAGAGACACTTTAAAGATAACTGAAGATAAAGTTTCTAATAGAAACACCATTTTAATAATTCCTTTGTAGCTGTCAGACCTATGGCTTCAGTCATTACATTCTAATATAGATGTAAATTTTCTTTTGGAGTTGGGGAAAGTTTTAAATGTCATAATGATTTCCAGAGAGAAAGTGAGTCATTCATCTCTAGCACATTTAATCTTTATTGTTTGCCTTATATCAAGCAATCATTTCAGACAGCTTTCATAAAATATGATTGTTACTGTTTTATACGAAATATAGCGTAGATTCTATATAAAAAGGAAATACAATAATGTTTATAAGGAAGAATTAATCTCACACTCTGGAGAGGACCAGGGCTGACAAAAGGAGGCAACTGTATCAGGGCCCCAAGCTCAAGGGGACCCAACATGTATGTAGCCTCTGTGTAAATAAAGTGAGGTGGGATGGGATGGGATGGGGCCCCTTTGAACATGATGTATCGGGCCTCAATTTTCCCTCAGTGGGCCTGGAGAAAACACTAAGAAATCAGCTAAAAACAATCAACACTTGAATTCTCACATTTTTAATATGAAAAAACACTTGGACTCTATGACAGGGTGCACTCACCTCTCCTGCAGTGAGCACCTCCTGTCAGCTGGGTGTGCACTCTCTCTTTGCTCACAGAGCCCCCTGTCAGCTGTTGCCCTTGTCAGGTGGGTTCAGGTGGTTCTTCAGTGAGTGGCCCTCAGGCTGTCACACAGTCTCAAATGGATGAACCCTTGCCAGAGTAACAAATGTCCGGCAAATGCTTGGACCTCTGCAGGGTCTTCAGCCCCATCCATAGGGCCTTTAAATTCCAGCCCTGTGCTTGGGCCTCCCAATGAAGCTTGTCCCCTTCTCAGGGCTTTGGCCACCCTTCCAGTGGGGGAACCCAAAGCGCATCCACAGCCCTTACAAATAGCAGTCACATGCTGCTTTCTTTAATAGTAGCTGCTGCTGCATTCCCTGAGCTGCTTCCCACTCTGTTCCATCACTGTCATCCATTACCTTAGGGTTACGGTCCTTGGGTCTGTCTGTTCCCTGTTTGTGCAGTCTCTCCCAGGCCTCCTTGTCTGGAGAGTCCCTCTGTCTTACCCCTTCTGATCCCAGCCAGAAAATGACATGCTCAGTGGCTCCTTTTAACTGAGCCTGCTGTGCTGACTGGCTGTTTTCTTGCAGTCCTTCTAGGCAGACCTGAAGGACCCACCTTTACTGCTCCTTTCCTGAGGCAGGGTGTGGTAGAACCGCGAGGTCCTTCAACATCTTGAATTAAATCACATGGCTATGACTTCGATTTTTCCCTGCGGCTAACAGATTATAGGACAGAATGTGGATTACAGCCATGCCATGGAGTAAGTCTTCCAAGAAGTGTAAAGATGCCACATTTCCTGTACATTCTAGATGGAGTTTTTGATTTCTGATGACACTTCCTGCTGAGCCAGAAACAAAGCAGCCCAGGCCAGTGACAGGTTCTAGGTACACAGAACAGTAGGAAGTTGGTTACCTCATTTGTGTGTGTAGTTTCTGTTCATAATCAAGTGTTTATCTTGATACCAGTCTGGTTGCTAATAAGATACTGTAATAGCCAGGCCCAGAGTTAGTGGTGGTGTGGTGCTGCATGAGAAGGGAAGCAATGGTGGACATTCTCCTAGGAAGCAGAATGTCTCTTAGAGATCTCCCACTAGCAATGGAGAGAAAGCAATCAGCATCACATTAGAGGGTGTCGTATGCTCCCACTTTGTGGCCAGTCTCCTGGCAGGTGAATAAAGGGGAGAGAGCTAAGTTTCCATCGATTTCCTACTTAAGGAAATCACTGTTACTTAGTAGGGTTGAACCCTCATTTTCCCATCGTTTCAGCATGCACTCGCTCTATCCATTTACCCTGCTTATTTACAATTTGTTCCCCTAGGTCCGAGGAAGTTTCACTAGTTCCTTGTGGGGACTGCCCTTGAAATAATATGACATCTTAGCTCTGGCTGCAAAGTCTGTTGTTCTAGCATCTGAAAAAGGTTTTTTCATCATATGCACACCCTGACTATAGACACAAACACAACTTGCTTTGGAATCTTTCCAAACAAATTTTTTTTTTACAAAAATCCCAGTTAGTAAATCAGTTATGAACCAATTTTGTTGTAAAATGGGGAGTTTTCAGGACACTAAATTGTTGTCAGCCACAGATGGAAACCAGAAAGGATGGAGGCGACACCAGTGTCTGAAGCCTCTGCAATGGCAGGAAACTGGTGTCAGACAGGCCAAAATGATCCTAGCTGATGACTCCTGTTCAATGTTTAAGAGGAAGGTGTAAAGCCAAGGTCTTGGCCAGTCTGATCTGGAGGAAAATTCCTTCCTAACTCTAAATCTGGTGATTGGTTTAACCCTAAGCATGAGAGCAAGAGTGGCACAGCTAAGCAGCTAGGGCCACAGGGTTTGTTGAACTGCATCAGACCACTGGTGCCACCTAGCCTGGTGTCCTGCTTCCAGCTGCAGATGATATCTGGTGTTTCAGAGGGAGTTGAAAAAAATCCCCATAATTCATCAGGCCACTTTTGAACTAGGGAAGAAAAATTTTCTTCCTTGCCCCTGTGCAGATCAGTTGAAGCCCTGAAGCATGAGATTAGATTGTTCTGATCTCAGCTACATAGTGTTCACATTATGGGAGCAAAACACAGGTTCATTTTCTTTCCATGGTGTGGAAGCGATTAATTGTGCCACTCTTACTCACCTTGAGTAGTACCTTACTCCACAAGTCATACCATTCATTTCAATAGCAGCTGCTGTGGAGTAAGGCACTACTCAGTCTGAATAAGGGTGGCACATGGGGATCTTTATGGAAAATAGCAAATGTGTACAAATACATGCCCAAGACCTGGCCCTCCCCAAATAAACAAAGGGCCAGACTCTGGAGAAGTTGCTTACCATGGTGAGCTCGCTCTTATTAGCAGTTCCACTGAAGACAGTGGTTCTATCTGAGTGGGACTAGGGTTCACAGTCTGGCCTTAAATAAGAACTTCAATCTCTGCTTCTTTGCACTGTCAGGTGCAAGACCGACTCTGATTCTCATGGCATCTCCTGGTCTTCCTTTATAGTCATTCTCCTTCTCTCTGTCTTTCATCCTCTTTATTTCTCTCCCCACCTCTCTCTCTTTCTGTGTATGGAGCATGGATGCTTTATGCACTGTGGGACCTATGGAAAGAAATGTCATTATTAGAGCTAAAATCTCTAATGTGGCACCCCACTCATACCTTCCCTTTGAACTGCTGCTGACCGGCTAAAAGATGCATTTGCTCTAAACTCCTTCCCTAGTACATGCTCAGCTACCATCAGAAATAATAGCAATAATTATTGTGTTAAGAGAGTGCCTGGATACCCCAATCCCACTGGGGATCCCACTGTGCTAGTTGCTATAGAAATACAGAGTAAGAGACAGTCCGTGCCTTGAAGAGCTTCAAGTCTAGACAATCAAAACAAGCATGACAAAATGATGGAGAGAAGCAGAGACAAAGTGACTTGTCGATGGAGACAGCAGGTCAGAGAGGAAAATACAACTCAGGTCGCCTGATTGCCATTCCAGGGCCCTTCAATTGGCTATTTTACTCAGCAGAGTGAGAAAAGACCATATGGGCCATTATTACATTACTTTAAAATTTACAAAAATCTTTAGCCAAGTCACTGTGCAAGTATGAAAAGGGCACCAAAGGATTATCATGAGAAGATCAGAGAAGGAAAACTGCACAAGAGATAAGTAAGAAGGAAAGAGAGATTATTTTCCAATCTTCTTTGAAGGATTGCACATGTCCATTCCCCTGTAGGTTTGTGTGTGCCTCATGCATAGTTGTCAGTACCCATCAGGGGAGCATGAGTGCCCCCTGGTGCATCACACCACTGCACACAGAAAGAGCTGCACTGCCCCCGACCCAACCTCAGTTACTTCTTACCACCAGTGACAGTTGTTGGAGCTGCAATCTTAATTTCTTCCTATCTTCCCTCCCTTAGTGTATATAGCACACTCAGTGTTAGTTTTAGTCTTGTATAGTAGTTCTGTAAATAGTTAGTTATCAGTATAAATTTATAATCTTTTTAGTGTGTGGTTACCAGTGCCAAGTTTGGAATTGGAATCGGTGCTGGAATGATGCTCCATTTTTCTGGCTTCAAGGCCTGTATTTCATGTAACAGCTCTAGGCCAGTGAATAGGCCTCATCCCAGCTGCCTTAAGTGTCTGAGAGAGATGCAGGTGAGTGACCAATGTGACAAGTGTAAGCAGTTCAAACCACATTTGAAAAAGAACAGGACTGCCAGGGCTGCCTCACCAAATGGGTACTGAGCACACGAGAGTTAGGAATGCTCTTCCAGTTCTTACAGAGTCATCAGCAAGATACCTAAGATTATTACACCAATCCTAAGAAGAGACTGTGTAAATCTCCTAACGACTCCATACCAGGACCTTCCAAGAGGAAGGCACCAAAGACTCATGGGGTACCCTAAAAAGTTACACCTCCAGGAGCAATCTCTAAGCCAGGAGGGATTGTTGACTCCAGTACCCGGGAAGGGTCCACAGAGACCAATTCCCAAAACATTGACGCATCTCTCAGTACCACAGGTTCAAGAACTCTTTCCGGTGCCATTAACACCCAGGCATTTAAGGAAGACAGGGAGTTACTTAACTTGTTGGTACTGGCTTCCCCTGAAATTCTAGAGCCTCAGTTGGTACTGACACTGGAACCACATGCTCCTGTGGTCCCAACTCCGGAGCCAGAGCACCACCTGGAACCAGCCCCTTCTTGCCGTACCTCTGCATAGGGTTGCGTCTTGATTTTGTTGGTACCCCCTTCTCCAGACTCAGATCCCTGTCTCCTGGTACTGATAGGTAGAGCCCTGCGTGGGACTAGTGTAGAGCCCTGCAGCAGGACTGGGATCCTGCAGGACCTCCTGGACCCACTGCTGTAATAGTGGGAGAATGGGATTAAAGAATGGTCCCATGCAGGGCTCTACCAATGGGTTCAGCTCCCCAGTGGTTGGAGGAAATGGACTCCTCACTGGACTTGGAAGTCAGATCCATTGTGTCCTGACCTGAGATTGTCCAAAAGTCCCAAGTGCCTCTCTGCCATGATACCATCCATGGCCTCAGCATTTTAGGAGTCAGTGGCCTTCTCAGGACTGGGTCCCACCTCGGTACCAATGGCCATTCTGGACTCCTTGGGACTTCCTAGCACAGTCCAGAACATCTCTGCTCTTTTCCTGCACCTCTATGTCAACCAGGTGCCAGGAGCATCTACAGGAAGGTCACCATCCTCTTTCCTCCGGTACCAGGATTGATAATGCGCAGAGGAGACATGTGCTAAGTACTCCTCTGGAGAGGAATTGGAGGAGGGACCTCCTGGGCACCCCTTAGCCTCCTCTTCTTCATCAACTGATGAGGCAGCAGTCACTGAATCTTACTCTCCCCCTCCTTATGCTTTTAGAGTTCATCAAGACTTGTTGAGGATAGTGGCTGCAGCTCTAGATGTACCTCTTCTGGCTGGATAAGAAAGGTCACACAGGATTGTGGACATTTTAGTCTCAGCAGGACTCTTTTGGGTAGCTCTCCCTATTAAAAAGGCAACCTGGAGCCTGTCAAGGTTTTAGGGCATACCTCTGCTTCCCCTGCCTCCTGCAGCCAAAAGGGTGGAGAAGAGATATTATATCTCTTCACAGGGATTTGAGCACTTTTACAACCACCCTTCTCCAGGCTCTCTAGTGGTCACAGCCACCAATGAAAAGGAGTGACAAGGATATCAAGAAAAGGAAGCGAAGAAGCTAGGTTTGTCTAGCAGGAAGCTTTATTCCACGGGAAGTTTACTGCTCAGGATCGCCAACCAGCAAGCCCTGTTGAGTCAATAGGATTTCAGCCAGTGGGATAATATCCTGAAGTTCAAAGACAAGCTTCCTGATGACACAAAGCAGGAGTTCTCTGCTATGGTGGAGGAAGGCAAATTAGTTGCCAGAATGACATTGCAGGCAAACCTGAATGTAGCGAACTCTGCAATTCGAGCTATGGCCTCAGCCTTCACAATGTGGTGGTCATCTTGTTTGCAAGCACCAGATGTGCAACAAGTTATTCAGGACCTCCTATTTGAAGGTCCTTTGCTGTTTTCCAGTAAAACAGATGACAGTCTGCATAGACCCAAGGACTCAAGGACAACCCTGAAGTCTCTGGGGATCTATACACTGGCGGCAAAAAGAAAGCTGTTCTTCCCGCAGCATTTTCAATGGTTCCAGCACTTCTTGCCATGTGTTCCTAGGACTTGTCCAAAAAGAGTGGCAGGAGCGTCAAGAGACCTCCTCCTCTGCAGTATAGGTTTTTGCCTGGACTAGCAAGGTCCACCATGGCTGTGATGGCCTCAATGGCCATCACCAGTGCACTATCCAGGATATCCAATGTATATGAGGACATTTTCTTCATGGAACCTGGAAGGATTTCAATCATCCAAACAACACGACTCAGGTCTGGGACAGTTTATCAGATAGGGATGAATTAACAACCCAACCTTAATAGCTGGATCAGTACTCTGGAGAAATAATATCTCCAGAAGAAAGTCTAGGGGTGACTTCAGCTTCATTGCCATCAGAAGGTGCAGTATTATTCTATGAGCTAGTGAATAGAATGACAAGGACACTGCACATTCCTTCAGTGACCATAGAAGAATCTATACAGCCTGTAATTGACCTTTTAGATGGTTTATCTGAGCTGGCAAAGATGGTATGGGCTGCAGCTTCATCAGTTCAACCTATGTCAAAAAAGACTGATAAAGTATACCAGTTTTCCCAGGAGGTCTGCCTATGTTCCACACCCTCTTTTCCCCAATTTTGTTCATGGTTGAAGCTGCAATTTAAAGGGATAAAGGAGAGCAAGCTCATTCCATGCCAACTGATAAGGAAAGTAAAAGAATGGATGTGGAGGGAAGGAAAATCTTTTTGTCTGCTACTCTGGGTTTGCGAGCAAATTATCAGACAGTGATGGCAAGATACCTGTAACATTTATGCGGAGAAATGTCACCTTATATAAATCTCCTGGAGGGGCACACAGTCAAGCTGTTAGCATTCAAACTCTGTCTAAATGGGAAAGACTCTACATAAAAGAAGTGCATAAAGTAGCTGCAATCCCACTTCCTGAAGGAGTTAGCCGTTAGTGCATACTCTACCAGAGTGGTGGCTTTTACTAAACACATTCCTATAGCAGAGAACTTTGTAGAGAAGCTACATGGAGTTCAGGTCATGCTTTTATTAAGCACATAGAGTCTAAAGCAGATGCTAAGTTTTGTAGGCACTCTTTCAGTCCTTAGTCAGTTAGGACTCTGTGTCCAACCTTCCTGGGTAGGATGTACTACTTGTTAGTCTGTCCCATGAGTGGGAATGTGTAGAGGACACTCAAAGAAGAAATGAAGCTCAGTTACAGGTAAGTAGAGTTCCTCGAGATGGACTTAACCTATGCACACCTTTCCCTACTTTCTCAGAATCCTACTTGCCAAAGGACATAGGGTCATGGCAGAAGAAATTGAGGTGGCTGGAGTGATGGGCCCCTTTTATACCTCATCGTTAGTAGTAATTTACTCCACAAGTAGTGCTATTCATATCAATACACTTCCTGTGGAGTCAGGTACTGCTCAGCCAGAGTAACAATGGCATATACTGCCCTTTATGCACAAATGTGCACAAACACATGCCCAAGACCTGTCTCTCCCGAAATGGAAAAACAGCCAGACTGTGGACAAATTACTCTCCAAGGTGAGCTCTTTCTCACAGCAGAGCCTTAACAAAGCATTTTATCAAGCGGGGTGAGCAAGTATATTTGCACCCCCTAGAGGCAATGCATAGAAGGGCACACCTTCCATTTAGCACAGAGAATTTCAAACTATGAGTGTGCAGAAATCTGTGGGGGGGGGGGAGCAAATGATGCCACCTGCCCCTTTCCCCCCCATTTTTCTGCTCCTGTGGCTTTGTGCCCTGGGTGGCCCCACCCTAGGTATGGCCCTGCACACAAGCACAGCCTCACTGGAGTCAGTAGTTCTACTTCGGCAAGTAACTGCTCAGCTGTGGAAGTAAGGGGTTCATAGGTTGGACCTAAATAAGAAATGTACCACAATCTTTGCTTCTCAGCAAGGTGTGGGGTAGGAGGCAGAATCTGAGCTGCATCCCAGGATCTCTTGGGCATTCCTGATGGTCTGGCTGTCATATTCTCTCTCTCTCTCTCTCTCATTGGATTATGGATGCTTTATGCACTGTGGAAGCAGTGGAAAGAAATGCCAGTATTAGAACTAAAACATTCTATTGTAGCTTGGTGCTGATTGTGTCAGAGCCTCTCCCAGTCTGAGCCCTATGAACAGGGACAGGAAACACGGCACCGTCCCCAAAGTGACACCCTAGTGATACTTCACTTTGAACTGCTGCCAACCAGTTACACTGATGCAGTGCCACCAAACGACATCCCCATGGCCAACTACCATCTGAATTCTTAGTAATAATTATTGTGTCAAGAGAGCCTGGAGACCCCAACCCCATTGTGCTTGGTGCTTTAGAAATACAAAGTGAGACAGTCCCTGCTTTGAAATGCTTTGAATCTAAATAGTCATACCAGACACGGCAAAGGCTGGAGAGAAACAAAGGCAACATGACTAGTTTATAGGCCAGCAGGTCAGCTGCAGAAAGGAAAATACAACCCAGGTCACCTGGTTGCCATTCCAGTGCCCTGTCAATTTGTCATTTTATTGAGCAGAGTGAGAAGATCATTATTACATTATTTTAAAATAATTTTAAAAGTCTTTAGCCAAGTCAGTTACCAAATGTCAAAACGGCAGGAAAGGCTCCTCATGAGAAGGTCAGAGAAGGAAAACTGCACAAGAGCTAAGCAAGAAGGAAAAAGACAGATTTGAAAGAAACTTTGTGAAAAGGAGCCACAGATCTCAGTCACACCCAAACCCTGGATCTAGTCACACTCAAACTCGGGGGGGGGGGGGGAGGCGGGGCTGGAATTTGGATGGAGATTTTGCTGCTCAGCCCCCCTCAGCTGTGGGACTGATGACATATCACTCTGTGTGAGCTCAGGAAGACCTTGAAACCACCTCTTTTCCCCTCACGGAGAGAGAGAGAGGCCAGCACAGCTGGAGAGCGGACAGCTATCTGCACTACCCCCTTCCTACTGCAGTCAGTCAACTGATTGGACTTACCTAGGGGGTGGAGATTACATATTTGCGGTGGGGCTCGATTTGTGTGCTGTGTAATGTTATCACTATATTAGCTATTAGAGATGGGCACCGACCACAACCACAGCACCCCAGATCTCTTGGAGAAGGACTGAAATCCAGATCTGGATCAGACTTCTTTGGTGTGGGCCTATCTTTAATAGCAATGGACTGTCTGGGAAAACTGTGGCAGAGCTGAGGAAGCAGGCTATTAGCTGCTTCTCTCCCTGCCTCTCTGACACTGAGGCAGAGATAGGTCCTGACAGAACATACTGCGGAAATGAGGTCATCAGCAGTGTGACACCCTATTAATGACACTGTCCTTTCTGAATTGCTGCTGGCCAATCAGGTTGCGGTATTTTTGACTGATCTCACAATCCAAGTCCCAGCCCTGCTCACTGCAGCAACTATGGGGTTCTCATCTCAATGGGGTTCCTTCTGCTCTTTTTGTCCCAGTTCTTCTCGTTTCTTTATAGTGTATTTAGATGCTTTATGTGGAATGACAACCTTTTATGTTAGTGGCTTTTGTTTTTATTTTTTTTTATTTTTTCCCCAAATGAGTATGAAAGCCACACCTGCTTGGTGCAGAGCTCTGCCCTCCTCTAGTGGTAGCTAGCTCAACGAGAGATGGATGATCTTGCTACAGCCATAGCTAATAGTGATAGGTCTTTTAGCTCAGATAGTAGAGGATCATGTATTAAGACCTAGAGCTACCAGGTTTGATCTCCAATGCTGATAACCCACTAAGGGTTGTTGGTGCTACGAGTGTAAATATTTCAGTAGACTCTTGAATCAGTGCATGAATTGACCCCTTTATAGAATCTCAGGATAGAGAAGAAGAACTCAACAGACACTGGGACGGAATTACACGCTTTCCTCTAGACAGATTCTGCGTGTCAGGCTTGAGGCAGTACTTGGAAACTAGCCCAGCCGTTCTCTGGCTATTCCAGGTCTCTGAAGAAATAAAGGACTTCAGTTGTAATGAGCCCTAAATCCACCCCAAATTAAAACAATCTATAGCGGCAACTCTTTTTATTGCATGTAATCTGCAAGCAATAACCTGAGTATCTGATAGGTGCAAAGGCTTAGCAAAAGATTATGTAGTCTGTTCCTCAGCTATTTGGTAACATGTGTGCAAGACATCTAAAACTTATTTTTTGGATCAGACGCCAGGTCCTCAGTCCAGTTAAATATGCATTCCCTAATCCTACTGTGTAAAACAGAGTTAAATGGCAAGATTAAAATTTTCCCAGAACTGGGAAATTCCTGGGTGGTGTAGGGTCATTATAGCATCTCCTGTGCCTCTACCACTCCTGAGCCCAATGTAGGAGGTGTGGTCAGAGAGAAGAGTGTGTGGCCAAGGATGCTGTTGCATGTAGCTGATTCCTATGCTGAAACAACATCTGTTGTCCCATGGCAGGTGCTCTAAAATAGAACAGAGTTTAGAGAGACAAGGTACGTGAGGTCATAACTTTTATAGGACCAAATTCTGTTGGTGAGAGAGACAAGCTTTTGAACTTACACGGAGCTCTTCAGGTCTGTAAAAGTTACTCAGAGTATCACAGCTAAATACAAGATGGAACAGATTGTTTTGCATAAGTAGTTAACACATGTCAAGGGACTGTTCAAGGTGAAGTGGCCTATTAACACCCTTCCAGTCATAACTCCTCTCCAGGCTCATCTTTTGAAAGTGTCATGCAGGTTTCCTTTGAGGATGAGGACTGATAGGTCAGACACTTTGTGAAAAGTGTTCATTCACAGGGGACAGGGTGTTTTTGTCTTATCATTTTCCTGAGTGAGTTTATTCGAGAGCCTAGTGATTATCTGTTTCACCCACACAGTTATTACTGGATGAGGTACACCACATGATGTGATAGGCATGTGTAGGACCCACGGATCTTGAAAGGTGTGTTGTGGAGGGAGCTGATCATTGCAGCAGTGGAGATATGTCTGCGGGTTTTGCAGCTGTTCTAGCAGGGTCTGGTGATGCTTTGAGTTGGTGTGTCCAGGTCTGTGGGGAGCTTGCTTCTAATGATGAACTTGAAAAGTTTAGGGGTTTGTTTGAAGGCCAGAAGAGGGGGTTCAGGAAAGATTTCTTTCAGGATGGGGGTCCCTCTTGAGTATGGGTTGTAGTTGTTTGATGATAACCCATATGGGTTCTAGTGCATGCTGGTAGGGACAACTGCTTCCCCACCCCCATTCCCTTCCTTTCCTCCCTGTGACTGGAGGGGTGTTAATGGGCTATTTCACCTTGAACCTTCCCTTGAAATGTGTTAACTACTTATGCAAAAAAATCTGTTCCACCTTTTATTTAGCCATGATATTCTGAGGCCTGATCTACAGTACAGAGTTAAGTCAATGCAATGCAGCTTACATTGACCTAACTATGTAAGTGTCTACACGAAAATTTCACTCCCGCTGATGTAACTGCCCTGCTGCACTGACTTAACTCCACCTCCACAAGAGGTGTAGAGTAAAGGTTGATGTAGTTAGTTCAACACAGAGTCAGTGTAGACCCTGCGTTGCTTACGTTGACTGTTACTGGCTTTCAGAAGCTGTGCCACAATGCCCCACGCTGACAGTACAATCAGCACAAGTGTTCCTGGTGAGGACATGCATTGCCGACTATAGTGTATTAGTGGTGGTCCCTCCCGCTCTGGGTCAGTGGGAGGCCACTCTGCTTCACTACATCAGAGGGCATCGCCCACAGTTAGGGCATTAGTCGGGCAACCCACAGCCTGTCTCTCTGGCCAGCAGTCCAGGCAGAACAGTAGTCAGGGTCTCTAGCCTGCAATCAGGGCAAAGGTGCAAACAGTTACGAGTCCAAGCGCTTCGTCAGGGTAGGGCAGAAAAGAGGCTATAGCTCAGGCCTGTATTCAGGGCCAAGCAGCAAGAGGGTCAGGCATCCTAGCTCCAGCGTACGGCCGATAATCACAGGGTCCTTGGCTTAGAGAGGGTGGACTGCTACCCCAGGGGTGGGGTGGCAGGGTAGGGGGGCACAGGTCCTCCCGACTCCACCGCGTTCTGCCACTGGGTCAGCAGGGAATCCAGCTGCAATATGCTGACGGGGTCTCTGGCAGCAACGCAGCCAGACTAGGGTCACTTCCTCCCCTCACCTCAGGGGGTACCTGGATCTGTAGGGGGTCCTCTGGTTCGTCGGGATAGAAGGCCAGTGGCAGTCCCAGCGGCTCCTCAGTGCCTTGGTCAGCAGGTGGCTCCAGCAGCTCTGGCCAGTCTGCAGTGGATCCCCACCGAACTGAGTCTCTCAGCTTGGAAGCAGGCAAGAGGCATCTGTCTCCTTCAGCAGCTGCAGCCCAACTGCGTCCCTGGACCTGCCCTTTATACTTCCTGTCCACCCTCAGACTTCCGGTGGGAGGGCTGAGCATGATCTGGTTCCACCCACCAGGGTTCACAGAGACGTCCCTTCCCCTCTGGCTCAGTGGGAGACCACTCCGCCTCACTACACTGACACAAGGAGCAAAGCATGAGCGATGTAATTACTGTGGCGGCTATATGCTGACGTAAGTGAGGTTGACTTAATTTTGTAGTGTAGACATGCCCTGAGTTAGTTTCTCAGACCTGAGGAAGAGCTCTGTGTAGCTGGAAAGCTTGTCTCTCTTGCCAACAGAAGTAGGTCCAATAAAAGATATTACCTCACCCATCTTGTCTCTCTAATATCCTAGAACCGACACGGCTACAATAATACTGCACAGAACACAGTTTAGGCTGGTGACTGAAGCTGGCACCTACCAGGCTCAGGGAGCTGCCCTTTCTTACCCTCACCCCGCAGATTTATGTTCAGCACAGCTCAAAAGATCTGGTCCCAAGTTTCCTTTAGAATTTGCTTAACATAGGGTGAAGGGCAATAGATTTAGCACAATACAAGTAAACAAGGGTGTGCTGTCTGCCAAATATTTCTGTAAAGCATTCTAGGGCCCCAACCCTGCAAAGACTTATGCTGGTGTTTAATTTACACACAGTGAATAGCTTCATTAAAGTCAAAGACATGACTCACAGCACAGAAAGTGAAGCATCTGTATAAACCTTAGCAAGACTGGGGCCCAATGTAGAGATGGGAAATCCATTTGCTTAGACTCTATGTGCAAATGAATGTGAAGGACACATTTGACAAAGGGTCAATAAAAAGAACATATTGGATATACAGACCTGACGCAAGGAATGGAGATTCTTTTTACAGAAACTCAGTGTTATTCAATGAAATCCCATGCAACACAGGGGGAATTTTAGAGAGCCAGGACTGTAGGAACACATTTGCGTCTTGTTAGTTTTTCTGCCAGTTTATGCACTTTCTAGTCCATACATTTTAGTATACAAATAATAGGAGATTTGCACTCTCCTCCTTTCTGTGTGTGGGTTTTTTAATGTCCTTCTTGGCAGAAAATTCTGCCCTATTTCTCACAACACAGCTGACAGTTTCTATAGCACTCACTTTGACAACCCTTTTAAATGTGTCCCTCCCCCCTACCCCCCGGCTGCTATTTTCCAGCAATTGTGGGTTTTCACAGTATTCCTTTACAATTTCATTTTGGAAACCAAAAAGCGTACTACAGAACTACTGGCATAATTACATTGAGACAGACTTCTAAGTCATGAAGACACTTGAAAATTTTGCTCTAAGTTCCATTTCCAACAGTGATTTAGGGATTCTTGAAAAATCAGATATAGGTTCCTACATTTAACTGAAACTCAGTGGGACTTAGTTTCAAGGGCCC